ACAGTGTGAACTGTAATTCTGAAAATAAACATCGTAAATGGATTTATGTATGACATAAGAGTAATACGCTCTTTGTGTTTGTTATTGCTTTATTTTGTAATTACAGCCATTCTTTCTCAGTTTTGTACAAGTTTTGAGAGAGTCAGAATTCCTCAAAAATCGGTGACATTGCCCCTTTAAGTCGGTTGTAATAACAATTTAAGGATTTTTTCAAGTACTAGTAGTGCAGTATCAATTCAACTAGGATTGCCACTAGGCCGTATTCTGTGGCACGATATCGTTCAGTTCCGTTGCCCGGGTTCGGGCACTACTTTGAAACAAGATAAATAATTAGGATAAATTATACAAAGTCCAAATCCGCTTGTTTGCACTTCCCAAAACCTGCAGTTTTCGAGTATTTCTTCTTCGAAAATTGAAGAAATCGACATCTTTCGCAATCGATCGCCGCCATTTTTGTTCAGGATACTTGGTGTAATAAACACTCTAAATGCCGATTTTCGCGGGCTCATGCTCATTCTTACATGAAGTTTCCAGCTTAGCATTTGTAAACATGGCGTCTTCTGATTCATGTTTAATTCATTTTGATGGGAAAAAAGGCCCACTTACAAGTTTTAGTGTGGTTTCGTATCAAAAATTTTTAGATTGTCGTAGAATTTGGCTAACGCTAGACGGGGAAGAACGCAATGTTGCTCAAAGAAGTTTGCGGTTTGTTAGCGACAGCATGGAAGTAGCACGGTCGAAAATATCGATGCAAATTTCTCTTTATATCATCGAAGTTGTTACTCGGCATTCACAAATAGCAGTATGATCAACCGAGCTCAAGAGCGTTGTCAGAATATATACAAAGAAGGTGTACCTTCATCCTCTGGTCTCCATATTATTGATGAAGAAACGGAATCAGATGAATACGAGTGCGGGCCTGTGCGGCAGCTAAATCATGGAATCCCCACTTGTTGCCATGCGTAATAGCGTTTGTATAATTTGCTAATCAGAAAAGTCGTGTTTCACTGAATCGGTAAGTTTATTGATTTATTTTTTTTACAATTATTGTTATTTTTCTAATTTGTGTTTTATAATTATATATTGATTGCATTGCCTTTAGCCGCTCCCGTTATAACGGTTGTGTGATTTATATGCATGGTTTTTTTATTGTTTAGAAGTCGAAAAAGCGAAAGCTGGACAAAATGGTATCTGTGAAAACAGTAGATGGTGGTAAACTGAAAGATGCTGCAACAAAGAAAGTTGATGAAAGTATTTTGATTCAAATTGGCATTGAAAGCATCCACATACAGTATTACAGTATACAAGTGCAAGACTGAAAGAAATGTATACAGACAATTAATACAGTTGGCCTAACATTGAGAAACAACTTGCAAAGACTGTTGCAAAACATTGTACATCTGCTTGGTACAAGAACTGGCCACCACATACATCATATATTACTGGTGAAAACATTAGTATCACCTCTCTTGTTTAATTTTATGGCATGGATGCTTGGGTTTTCAGATGACCCAGAAGATGCTGACTACATTGAATTAGATGACCAAACTACATCAAAGATTTTTCTCTGTGTCAAAATTTGGTCTATATTTCTAATAGGGGGAAAGTACAGATACCCAAGTCCCTAGCACTAGCAATGACCGTTCAGCAGATGTTTGGTTGTTCTGGCCTGATATTTAAGATTTTGAGTGGTTTTGGACATTGTCTCTCACTATCTTTGGTAATGGCATATGATTCAGCTGTTGCACAGGCAACTATCAACACACCAACATTATTCCAGTAATATCTGATGCATGTGGTGGCCAGTTCTTGTACCAAGCTGATGCACAATTATGCAAGTTGTTTCTCAATGTTAGGCCAACTGTATACATTTCTTTCAATGTTGCACTTGTGTATGTCAATGTTTTCGTTACAATGTCAACATCAGAACCAGACTCTTGTGTGAACTCTGAGATGTTTCTATGTCATCATCCATAAAACTTTTTCTTGACCGAGGCACTCTGCATAAACAATTTCACTCTTGTTTCATAACTTTGGTTATGGAAAACAAGTTGTGGAAACCTTTTACACATGTAGTATGTACTTTTCATAACATTGTTTATGGTATTCCACTTTCAATGCTAGGTCCTTATCAGCAATTTGAATCAAAATACTTTCATCAGCTTTCTTTGTTGCAGCTTCTTTCAGTTTACCACTGTTTCCGCAGACACCATTTTGTCCTAAATAATAAAAACCCATGCATAGAAATCACACAACCATTATAATGTTAGCAGCTAAAGGCAATGCAATCAATATATAATTACAAAACACATCTTAGAAAAAATATTAATAAATCAATAAACTTACCGACTCAGTGAAATCACATCTTGTAACAAGTCTGCCAACAAGCCGTCAACAAGATGTATGCGCACTGCTTGTCACAAGTTCTCAACAGGTTTGGAACAACTTGTTGACAACTTGTAACAACCGTGTTGAAGTTATCAGACTTGTTGCAATATTGTTCTGACAAGTCTGTTACATGCTTGATATAACAAGATTGTTACAACCTTGTGTTGACAACCTTGTAACATCCTTGCTATATCATTGTTGCAACAAACTTGTTAGCACTGTCTTGTAACAAGACTGATAATGCCATCAAGCTTGTTACAAATTGTTAACAGCTTGTTTCAAACTTGTTACAACAAACTGGGAACAAGCAGTGTGAAGACAACTTGTTGACAGCTTGTGAACAGACTTGTAACAACTTGTTTGCAGACTTGTTACAAGCTGTGCGTTTTTACATGTGTAGGTGAACTCAGCGTATACATGTAAAAATGCACAAGTTGTAACAAACCTGCAGCAGATTTGTAGCAATGCTGCTACAACAACTTGTCAACAGGATGTGTTCACACTGCTTGTTCCCAGCTTGTTGATAAGTTGTCAACACCTTGTTGACAACTTGCTACAAGGTTGTCAAACTCAACAAACTTGTTACAAGTTGTTCCAACAGCAATTCAACAATTTGTCAACAAGTTGTGAGTGACAAGCTTGTAGCAACTTGATA